AATCAAAATTATTAAGAGGTCTTATTATTACAAATAATAATTAGGTACATTTATCGCCAATATTTTTCTAATGGAACAATGTTTGTTGCGGAACTTGATTTAATTTCAAATTTTCATAACTATATCACGTTTTTGTATCTCAAATTGAGGAAAATTGCTATATTGACATTCATACCACGTCCTTCTTCAAATGTAAAACTTTTTCAAGGGGAAATAAGCTTTTTACTCATGGGAATCACTTGTGGTTAAAGTATAATATCAAATAGACAACATCAATTTGTGGACCTCCAAATTTGGTGACACTCAATTGTCAACAAATATCAACTCATCTGTAGTACGCACGTATATTACTTGCATACTTAGACACCCTATTAAACTGCACAAGACCATAGCTCAAACAAGGATATGATAGTCTCGCACACTCTAATATTCAAGTCAAACAATAAAAAATATTCGGTGAGAGAGATACAAATGAATGAAAATATGGGTTCCGGTTTTCAAATTACTTTTTTTATCACAAGTTAAGTTACAAGAGTTCTTCTCGACTAACTTTCGGCCTTTTTCTCTCAACCAACCTGTGTGGTTTCTCTTGGACTAAATTGATCTCATCTTTGGCCGACTCTTTGTGGGTATGAGTAGCAACCGCATGTGGGAAGAAGAAAGGAGAGATTTGGGTGTGTCTCAATAGTGGTGGTGTCGACTTTTGGTGGAAACTGAGCCCGATATCATTTGGGTATTGCTGGATTTTGGACTCACAGAATGTTTAGGAATAAAAATGGCTTGAGTATCGTCCAGTGGTGTCTGCAGAAAGTCTCTATATTTTTCAAGAATTCCTTCTGTCTTTTTACTTGGAAAGTGGTGAAGTTATTTCCGTGTAGGAGTAATAATTTAGAGTTAACATTATGACATTAACCTTTTCAATTGCACTACATGTACACTCTAGTGTAAATAGGGCCCACAAACTCTAGTGTACAAATGACCTTATTCTAACCTTTTTTATCAATTTGGGTAAATTTAAGGGATAATTGCAGTTGAAACTCAAAACTTTGAAAAGATTGCAGACTTTTTTCTAACATTTCATCTGTTGCGGTCGTCGCCTCAAACCTTTCAAAATGTTGCGGATGAAACCCCAACGAATAGACTCCATCCATATTTCTATTAGTTGACAAAAAAAAATTGGACTTTGACCACATTTTAATCAACTATAAAAAGGCAAAATAATAACTTTATATATTTTCACATAAATAAGTAAAAAACTTAAATAAAAAACAACAAAAAAGAAGAAAGTAATAAAATAAATAAGGGAAAAAATATCTTCTTTTCCCTCACCCCCAACCCCAACCCTACAACCTAAAACCACGAATCCACCATCTCACCCAAAACTGGCCACCACCCTCCACAACCATTGCTATCGTTGCCACCACCACATCCATCACCACTACCTCCTCCATTGAAGGGAGTTAAAAACTGATCCCTAAAAGCTGTTTTTTTTTTTTTTTTTTTTAAAGATGGAAAGTTGCATGTTGGGGTCGGTATTAATCTAGGGAGAAGATGAAGGGTTGTGGGGTAATTTTTTAATTTTTTATTATTTTCTATTGATTTGTAAATAATACATTTAGCCTTTGTTTTTTTCCTATACTGAAATTGTAAAATTCATTTTTTACATCACATCACGGATTCCATCATTTACGTCATTGGTTTAAATACCTACAATTGTCAGTTTTGTAATTCCTTTTATGCACACTCTTTTGTCCCACGGCGAGGAGATTAGATAGTCTTCTTGGAGAGAATGGTATGGTAGAGAAAGTGAAGAGGAAAAAATAAATATCACAATAAAATGTCAGATGAATACAATAGAAAAACGAGTTTATGAATAAGTAACAGTCAAATTTTTTCTACTTAGGCACAAAAAATGGGAAATAAGCAAATTCTTGCTTGATTGGAAATTCTAAAAAGAGAGAGCTACGTTGCACATGAGCACGTGTTCTTGACTAGTAATTATAAAGATAATTTTGTTTTCTAACATATTACATATTTATTTGATTAAACTTTATCCGTATCCTATAAAATATGTTAAAATTCACATTTTAATAAAGTTAGAACATCATTATTAATTTAGTAAATATCATATTATTTAAATCTTAGATGTGTAGTTTCTATAATATATTTGAACACATCAAAATATTTAATATTAGACAACAAACAATGGCAACGTACTCACCCCTGCCCATACATACGGATATACATAGATACCTAACGTAGAAAAGCTGTACAAATATTGAAGAACAGAAATAAAGATACGTTGCGGAATCTGTAAAATACATTCACACAATAAAAGATACGTTGCAACGTACTCACCCCTGCTACATTGAAGTCATTTGATTTCATTAAGAGCTATAAATTGCAAAAACGGAAATAAAGATACGTTGCAGAATCTGTAAAATACATTCACACAATAAAGCATTTTGCACGTAAATTCAAAATTTTTCCCCACTTTTTAATTACACATTCTCCTAAGCGTTGAAAAAGATTGAAAAGTTTTTTATTTGCGTATAATATGATTTTATGGAAGATTGTATGGTTGAAAATAAAACAGAGAAAAAAATGAGAAGAAGAATGGGGGCCAAACGAGGGCCGAGTAAGCAATTTCTATCGATCTGTATAAATAGGTGGTGAAATGTGATTAGGGTGATGAAATTTGAAACAGTTGTGCTATTTGTACAGACCCCTTTGCACAGGGTCTGTACAGATGCGCACACATGCAGGGGACCTCATAAATGAGATCCACATGTGGGGTCCACCCCTATGTGAAAGTCCCTGTACAGACCCTGTACAAAGGGGTCTGTGCAGGGAGCTTTAATCAATTTGAAATTAGTTCAATACTAATTATGTCAAAAAAAAGTTTAGTAACTCAATTGAAATTTCGCTAAATTCCTATGTCTATAAATGAAATTTACCCTACTAACTTGCAATTTGAACCCCTTAAAAATAAAAGGATTTTCTTGGCAACAGGTATTCTGCAATGCTAGATATATCATATTTACAATATTTTTTTCTATAAAGTAATTACGTCTATCATTTTCACTCCAAATAAGATGAAACAAGCACTTTAAAAATCACTTTCACCGTTTTCTTGTTCCTATAAGAGCTTCAAATGAAGCATCGAAATGAAGACAATATTCCCTTTCGAGAGGCAATCAAAATTATTAAGATGTCTTATTATTACGAATAATAATGTAGGTACATGTATCGCCAATATTTTTCTAATGGAACAATGTTTGTTGCGGAACTTGATTTAATTTCAAATTTTCATAACTATATCACGTTTTTGTATCTCAAATTGAGGAAAATTGCTATATTGACATTCATACCACGTCTTTCTTCAAATGCAACACTTTTTCAAGGGAAAATAAGTTTTTTACTCATGGGAATCACTTGTGGTTAAAGTATAATATCAAATAGACAACATCAATATGTGGACCTCTAAATCTGGTGACACTCAGTTGTCAACAAATATCAGCTCATCTGTAGAACGCATGTATATTACTTGCATACTTAGACACCCCATTAAACTGCACAAGACCATAGCTCAAACAAGGATATGATAGTCTGGCACACTCTAACATTCAAGTCAAACAATAAAAAATATTCGGTGAGAGAGATACAAATGAATGAAAATATGGGTTCCGGGTTTCAAATTACTTTTTTATCACAAGTTACATTTGAATGAGAAAGATGATCAAATATTTATAGGCAGAAGAGACCATCTTAGTATTTGATATTTGATGTGTAACATCATCCATTCATCCTAACTGCTTTCTACCTAATTGTGTCAATTCATGTGGCCTGTATAGCATAACATAGGCTTAAAATTTGGATGCTATCAATAATTATTTCTAACGGGGCCACTTGGAAATAAGTGCATTTTTTATTTGGACGCTGTCCATAATTATTCGTAGATATAGTTTTTTATATAGCGATGATTGTTTTACTGTTTTTTTTTTTTTTTTAAAGATGGAAAGTTGCATGTTGGGGTCGGTATTAATCTTGGGAGAAGATGAAGGGTTGTGGGGTAGTTTTTTAATTTTTTATTATTTTCTTAATTGATTTGTAAATAATACATTTAGCCTTTGATTGTTTCCTATACTGAAATTGTAAAATTCATTTTTTACATCACATCACGGATTCCATCATTTACGTCATTGGTTTGAATACCTACAATTGTCATTTTTGTAATTCCTTTTATGCACACTCTTCTGTCCCATGGCGAGGAGATTAGATAGTCTTCTTGGAGAGAATGATATGGTAGAGAAAGTGAAGAGGAAAAAATAAACATCACAATAAAATGTCAGATAAATACAATAGAAAAACGAGTTTATGCATGAGTAACAGTCAAATTTTTTCTACTTAGGCACAAAAAATGGAAAACAAGCAAATTCTTGCTTTATTGGAAATCCTAAAAAGAGAGAGCTACGTTGCACATGAGCACGTGTTCTTGACTAGTAATTATAAAGATAATTTTGTTTTCTAACATATTACATATTTATTTGATTAAACTTTATCCGTATCCTATAAAATATGTTAAAATTCACATTTTAATAAAGTTAGAACATCATTATTAATTTAGTAAATATCATATTATTTAAATCTTAGATGTGTAGTTTCTATAATATATTTGAACACATCAAAATATTTAATATTAGACAACAAACAATGGCAACGTACTCACCCCTGCCCATACATACGGATATACATAGATACCTAACGTAGAAAAGCTGTACAAATATTGAAGAACAGAAATAAAGATACGTTGCGGAATCTGTAAAATACATTCACACAATAAAAGATACGTTGCAACGTACTCACCCCTGCTACATTGAAGTCATTTGATTTCATTAAGAGCTATAAATTGCAAAAACGGAAATAAAGATACGTTGCAGAATCTGTAAAATACATTCACACAATAAAGCATTTTGCACGTAAATTCAAAATTTTTCCCCACTTTTTAATTACACATTCTCCTAAGCGCTACAGTTAATGCTATAACTCATCCACATATTGAGAGAAATGATCAAGTTTCGGATTAAGAAAAACGGAATGTTAAATTACAAAACCCAAGATTTTGATCCTAAAAAGACAGTATAAACACCCTTCCTTACTGCATTGTCCAGATCTGCTTTTCCTATACACACCACCTACAAATGCAGACTAAAGCTGTGCTCCTCCTTCAGGTTCAAACAACTGCCTCAGTACAGGAGTTTCGAGCAGAAATATGTCCTCATACGGATTGTCCTGCCTTACATCTATGCATTTCCCGGTTTTCAAAACCTGCAAGACAAATCCGTAACTTGTCAATGAATTTCCATACTTCGACATTTGACATATTCAAACTTATCGACCTTTAATGCATTAATCGCAGCATGTATTCGTATTTAATATTATTCAATCAAACAAATATGCAGTAATGGCACAAATAGACCAAAAGGCAATTACCAGTACTTCGTAGAATAGCCTCGCACTTCCTTTCTTGGTTTTTCCTTTGAGAACCTGTGCCAATTTCACTACAGCATCCTCTTTGCATCTCTTTTGTCTAACAAAGTTTCCATATAGATATCTTGCAATCGTTCTGCGTTGCACACAATGAAAATAAAACCAAAAGGCCTTTGACACATTTAATATATATGAGTAGCACACATTTAATTTATATATACACACATGTGTGTGTGTGTGTGTGCATGTATATGAGTATATACATAGATGCACAGAGAGAGAGAGAGAGTGTTTATCGTACTTTGTTCTCGCAGATAGTATATCTGCAATTAACAAAAAGAGTAATGAATATTTCATACAGCTAGTAAAAGTAAATAAATAAATCATCACATAACAATATAAGCCCTTGTTTGAAAGTGATTATGTGAAAAGCACTTCCCCCACACTCATTTCCAACCACATACCCTCAAAAAAATCATTTTTCATGTTTTACCATAACTTTTTCCTACTTTTTACCCACACACCCACTCAAAAACAAAAAACACTTTTCAAATAATCACTTTCACACAAAGTAAATAGAATAAATTTCTTACTTTTTTCCTGGCCAATATCCTCAGATGAATCTTTTTCCTGATAATAAAAGCATAGAAGAAACATTTAACTTCTCAAGTGCCAAATGACTAGGTAACTTGTACAACTCAGAAAAAGAAAAACTTCTGGCAATAATAGAAAATAAAAGCAGATTCTTATGCAGCAACAATTTGTTTTACATGCATGATCAGCCATCGCACTTGAGTACTGCAACCCACCCCACAAATAAATCACTCTGCAATATACTGTTTTCAAATGTCCTCCTCCGGAAGTGAAGTCCCAATATCACATTATGTGCATATTTGGCTTAAAGGACATAATCGGGAGTTTACTTATAAGCAAAGTAAGCTCTAAATTAGAAAACTTTTTGTTTGCCAAGTTACTTACCTCCGTTTGAGAAGAATTTATGAATGGTCAAATTTATAAATAGGTAGAAATGAGCAGTTGATAGTACTCTTGGACATTCGAACATGCAGTCGAAAACGAAGTATGAACATATAATTGATAAATTTTGCCAAACAGGGGACTCAAGTAACCTCGACCTTACTCTCAAAGTAAGTACCTTTTTTTGATTATAAGTAAGAAAAAGTAAATTAAACATAAATACATTTAGAAAAAAAAAATATATTTCCTAATAAGTTTTATTTCTTTTAAGCTTAGCCAAACAAGGTCCTAACCTCGAAATTTGTGATCAGTGAGAACTACATTTATACCTCATCCATTAAAGTAACATTCAATTCCAGGTCTTCACTCATAGAAGACGCCTTCTCGGGGATTTCATTTGAGGTTGAAGGTTCCAAAATGTCCGAAACTCCTCTGCTCTCCTGCACTCTTGGTAAGGCTGAATGAGTAACAGGAGTTGCGGGAGCAATTGGAGTTTGTTCTCGAGATTTAGGTGTGACAGGAAATACTGCTTCATCTTGACTTGCAAATATTTCCACAGCTCCAATTGGCTCGCTTGGCAATATCTTTTTGCATTCAAGAGATTGAAGATCTAATGAGATACCTGCATACAGCATAGTACATAACCAAGATGAAAATATTACAATGAAAATTGGTCCTATAACCTTGTATTATAGCTGCACCGTCAGCCCAATGACAGAGAGCATTTCACGTAGCCCTCATGGCTACCTGCCTCACATTTCAACTTTCTGGACAGTAAAATCTAGCAACATATAGTTATACGTCAAGGCAAGTGAAGAATTAACGGAGACGTGAGTGGGGACTGATAGTGCAACTACGCAACCAACTTGCTCGATTGAAAGTTGGGTTGCAAGCAATAAGTCAAGGGCGAATAGTACAAGTGAAATTTATTTCTTGTAGGCTTGCAGCAAAACTACCGAAATGATCAAATGAACTCACAGGAGAACAAAGGATCCAAGAAAGTCCGAGGGAGATTAGAAAGTTTATGAGCTCTCCAGGCATGTAAAATGGTATGAGGAGCATTCTTTCTCTTACATATTAAATCACTCGGGTCTTCTATCCATTGCTTGAACATCCTACAAAATGGAAGACAATATACAGCTTTAGTTTCACTTAGCCTCCGTTAGGGAAGAATTTATATACAGTTCATAGTTAGATATGAGTAGTGTATCAATGAATAGTACTTGATGGTCCATTAGAATGTGTGGTTGATTATAAAGTTTGACTATTTATAAAAAATTTGCCAAAGAGATGGTTAAATTTCAGCATACACTCCTAGAACGAGTGTCAAAATGAAGATTCGAATTAAACAAATAACGGTTTGTAAACAAATAAGTGCATTTTAAGAGAGTATCAAGACCTTATGCTTCACTAGATGTTTACAATGTTTCAAATCAAAATACAGTATTGACTAAGCTTACTTTTAAATGACAGCTTACTTTTAAATGACTTGCACAGATAAATTTTCTTACTTCTAGCCCCCGTTTGGCCTCCATTTTCTAGAAATGAAAATGGGTGGAATAGTATTTTTTTGAAAAATGAGCCGTTGAAAAAGAAAGAAAAGTTTTATGGAAGATTGTGTGGTTGAAAATAGGAGAGAGAAAAATGGAATGTAATAATATGAAATTGAATGGGGGCCAAACAGGGGCTAAGTAAAACAAGTTACTTATCTCAAAGGTAATTCTCATTATAAATCTTACTTACTTATAAGTAAACCTTATAAGCTTACCAAACATAATAATCTTATTCTATCTATAGGACATGCGTTGCCATTGTGAATGCCAAAAACTGAAGTCTCAGCTTCAGTTGAAAGTTGAAACCTTTGTCGAAATTATAAGTTAAGTTGAAACCTTGGTCGAAATTATAAGTTACAGTACATACTTGTTAGGTACCGCAATGGTGTCATCGAATGAACACTTCCGCTTCTTCAGAACTTTCGCACGCTCCTTCGGAGCCGGAGTGCGAATAGCCATAATCCCTGGTGGTGTAGCAGCACCTGCATTTAAGAAACCAGCATTGTTCAGAAAGAAATTACTTGATGGCTTCTTTCACAATGAAACTGTACTCGTTATCTGACTAACAAAAAAACAAAACAAAATACCAGAGAACTTAGCATGCAAACAAGTTAAGATATGCCATATCTGTTTTGAGTGATGGAATTGGAAACCAGGGAAAGAGAGAAGCATCCCAATATGGTTAAAAAAAATTGGTATTCAGGTCCATAACAAATCTCTGTCCCCACACCAATGAAATTTTGGTAGACTTAGAATACAGAGATATAATGCAATATAATTCCCAAAGAAATTCACAAGTTATGTTGAAGAAAAAATTTAATTAAATATATGGGTACTTTCTAACACGTGTACAAGAAGGATTCATATTCTCATCAAAGGTCTGGTGCATACAATTTTCATAAATGGGTTGCAGTGAAATTTGAACACAAGACTTTGCCTGTTGTAATATCATGCTGGTGTTCAATACGTTATTAAAATATTTATATAAATTAGAATGCACGAACCACCAGGATCCTTTGAGTCTGAAGTTACATCAACTGCAATGGATGTCGAAAACTCTTCTATCCTCTGACATTTTCTGCTATCTAAGACAGTCTCTGGAAGTCTTGTTTGCTCTGCATCTACTGACTCATTTTTATCAAATGACCTAGCAAGATCATGTGGTTCCTCTTCTTGTAAGTTCAATTTAGTCATCGGACACTCCATCTGCTCTTCTGCAATCTCACGCTCTTCATCAGATAGTCTACCATGGTCCTGTTCATTTTCAGCCTCGTCCAGTACCATAGGATCCAGACGATCTTCTAAAAAGAATTCTGTCCCACGAAATATCTCCATGCTCGCTACTGAGTTGCTCTTATTATTTGATGGGCTTACACCCAATTGTTTGTCCACAGGGTGCGATGAGTACACACTGCAAATGGGAATGTACATTTAGGCGGCAGAATTCTACACTGATCTTCTCAGTGGAGGAACTACCAGAACTGAAATACTTACTCTCTAACTGGAGTATAAACAGACGAATAAGCATCAGTAAAGGAAATATTCTCCTCATGATGATCCTGGAAAAAAAAAAAAATTTGTATCTCGTTAAAACATGTCTATTTCAACATATTTGGTTTTGGTCAAGGGGATTTTATCAAATGGACAACCCTTAAGGACTTGTTTGATTGCTATGGCACAAAGGAGTCCAAAATAAAAATGGAGTAAAAATCCTCACTGCCTCAGGATTACATTGTTATTCGAAAGAATGAAATCAAATTTATAAATTCAGGTTTCCATCATGCGCTCCAATATATGCAGTATCCAAAGGCCATCCTTTCTGTAGCACTGAGTGTAATATGTAACTTCATTAATTGGGAAATTTTTAGCAACAAGTTGATTAAACAAATTGAAGTTCAAGATGGGATTTAGAAACTTGGCTGCAACGCTCCCTGGTAATTCACTTAAGTTAAGTGTTAATTCGCAAACGAGTTCTCGGGTATGGTTAATAAATCAAAAAAGAATTGTCCTTTCTCATCGGATGTTGCCAAATATCTTGCACCTCTGATTGCCAAATATCATTACACTTTTCCTGCCTAATATAACAAACGTTCGCAGGCAAGAAACAATAGACACTAAGTGCTCAAATACTCGACAATGCAAGCCATTAACTCCAAGCATTTCTTTTCAAAAATTTAAAATTAACTCATTTAATGAAAATGAAATATGGATATAAATATTCTATAAAAGTATGTAAACACTGTATAGATATCACAACATCAAAAGAACTAGAATGCAAGAAAAGATATCTAAACAATCTACCAGATGTACCTTGCCAAGCTGGTTAACTGTGTTGCCCTCCTTCCTTAGTTCATCTGATCAGTGAAAAAGATAAGGTATGCCAAGCTGCACACAACATATAATGATAGTGTATAGACAGAAAGATAAAATACCAGCAAGCATGATGTCTTCACGAGATCTCACATTTCCACTGCATAGCCAAATATACAAAAACAGAAGGTTGTAAACCATTGTTGCAAGTACCTTGTATCTATCCAAAACCATAATTTAAAAAGAAATAGAAAAATAGACAGAACAAAATAGTAAATAAACTGAAATGTTGACTCACTCAATTACATCTTGATCTTCCATGACTTCTAGGTCAAAAGCATCAAGTTCAAATCTCTTAGGAAAGGTGATAGAGTAATGAGGTGCAAGCATACCTCCAATACTTGCACCTTTTCTTTCGCCAACCTTAAAATTACTGAGTTTAGCAACAACACCATGGCAGTCGTGGAACAGATACTCGACTTTCTTCGAGTATATTCTCACAACACCCAGAAGAAGGTAGGCTAAGATCCGATATGTTACCATTGGAACTTCATCAAGTAAAATCTTATCTGCATGAAGAAATGAGGTTAGATAAATCAGAGAAAGAGTATTAAATATATGAATACAGAAGTTACTGATGGAAAAAATAATTTGAATTTATACCACACAAATTACTATCTATCGTGTCAAAGAAAGAGAAGAACTTTGACGATATCAAGTAAATGGGAACCTCTTTAATACCACCGTTAATTACTTGTATGCTAGTTTTCACTACAACTAGCAAGCATGTCATTACAAACAATTATCTTTCTTCTCTGAATAATAATTTAGTTAGGGTTAAAATAAGTTCAACAAACCAACAAAAATGAGAAGAAAAAAATGTTTTGATCAGAGGAGCAGCACAAGGCTACCTGCAAGAGAATGAAACTCATGGAAAGCTTTACCTAAGCAAAATTAAAACTGCTCCAGTGCCCTCTAGATCCACATTAAATAAACATAGAGAACTTTTATTGATATCAAATCAATACAATGTTTAAAAGTATGACTAGCTTAGGATTGAAAATCGATGTGCCCTATTAATATAGGATAACAATATCCAACAAATTTAGGATCAACAAAATCCTCACCTCATTATAACAATATCCCTACAGTAAGGTTATCATGACTATAAGAAATAAAAAGAAAGAAGCATGTAAAAATATATGTTCAGTCAGGAATCAATGTAGTAAACATACTTCTAATTGCAAACACATTGACAAAAGAAGCCCATGAATACGAATTGAGGGAAACCAAACACGAACTAGTAATTCTCAACGACTGTATGTGATGAACACTTAATATTTACATTAGAGTTCTTAAAATTCCGAAAAGAAAAAATTAGAAACACAGTTCCATTAGTTCATTCAAAGCCCAGGAATATGTTAACAAATAACAAGTCAATATTTCAACAGAAGTGGAAAAGAATAGCCAAAAAACCTTCTCGATTCATGAGAAAGCAAGGGAGAAACTCCAAGAAATTAAAAGAAAAAACAATTCTTAGAAGTTTAACCGAACATCACACAGTGAGAAAAAAAATGGAGAGAGAAATTAGAGACAGACCCACAGAAGAACAAATATCAGTCTGCTTAACTTGATCTTTCTTAAGCCTTTTGTGGCAATGAGCAGCAAACCAAACTGTGCCTAAAGGCCCCTTCTTTGATAGAAGCATTTGTGAGTAAAACATCTTCTTCTCCAATTTCCTCTTCTCTCAACTCTCTCTCACGATATATATATATAGTTACAAGTTTGTGTGACATTCAGAGGAGGGGAATCGCTGGGAGAAGTGGAAGGGAACGTTTTGGAATAAAAACGGTCATGTCCTGTCAGAGGTGTATGAGGGAAGTCTCTATATTTTTCAAGATTTTCCATTTTTCTTTTTATTTGGAAAACGGTAAAGTTAATTAGGAGTAACATTACCACGGTGACATTTTTTTTACCAATTGAGTAAATTTCATTTGCAGTCACTGAGCTTTCAACAAAAATTCAATTTAGCCTTGTTTAGTTTTGATACAATTAGATATAAAGTAAATTTTCATAAAAAGATGAAATTTTTGTTAAAAAACTAAGAATGAGTTTGTGAAAAAATTAATATTAAAAATATGGGACAAACAGGAATTTAGTAGATGAGCTTCAATTTAATTTCAAATTTTATATTTTTATCACATTTCAGATCTAAAATTAATGAAAATTATTTCATTATCACAATGGCTCGCCGACGGCGAGTTCGGCCCAAAAAAAGCTTGTAGAATCAAGTTGAGGCTCAGGCAGAGCCCTATTTTGGGGGATCAGCCCGAGCCGAGCTATCCTATATGACTGTCGGGCCGATTCGTCATTTAAAAAAATAGACAGTTGTGTGCCAACTGCCTAGAATGTTATTATTAAAAGAAAAAATCGAGCCGCTTGATTCGATAAGGTTCGAGCCAAAAACTCAAGTCGAGCCTCGATTTTTTGCTCGAGCCAAAAAACCCCGACTTAATTTTATTCGAGTCAAGCCCAAAACTTCAAGTTTCGACTCACAAGCCGAGTCGCTCAACTAGTTGACATTCCTATACATGGATGATTAACTATGATACGATTGTCCTAAGCAATTTCTACCAATTTGAATACAATAGATGGCGAAATTTGACTAGAATGATGAAATTTGAAATGCAATTGAAGTTTAATTACTCAAACGAAATTTTGCTGAATTTCTATGACTACAAAAATGACATTTACCTACTAACTTGCAACTGGAAACCATGAAAAATAAAAGGATATGCTTGGCAAGTGGTACTCTACAATACTAGCTTATGTTTGATGGAGATTAAATTCAGTTTTCAAGAGATTTTGATAAAATTGTTGGTTGAAAAGTTGTGAATTTCACAAAATATGTTATTAAAATTAATTATTAATTTTTACTTAAATTAAAATTTGAATTTGAATTTCTAACAAACAAACAGGGGCTAGATATATAAAATCTATAGCCCCTGTTTGTTTTCTATTTTTTTTCATTAAAATGAAAAATATTATCGTTATTCATTACATCAAACTATCAAATTTGAATTTATATCTCTTATGTAAAGCCCATAACGACTATATTTTTCATTCTCATTTTTACATTAACGTGTACCAAACGGGGCTATAGTATATTAACATTTTATGAAGTATACACGTAGCGGCAGCTAAACTGTGTCTCAAGAAATGCTATGGGCATTCCTCTCTTAAGGCTTTCATGGTGACCGACCGCAAACTAGCCACGTTTGTGATACTAACGGAAAGAAATATAACACGTTTTAGTGACATGTTATTTGATGCTGACTGTTCATTTTATGTTACATCTCACATAATATAATGTGATTCGACATTTTAGCTGTCACCAACTCTTTATTTTTCTCTAATAAAATATAAGTCTCGGTTTAATGATCATTATTTTAGAATTATTTTTCGAAAATACTTATTTTTAATTATACATTTACACAATAAAATATTCTACACGTAAATTCATTTTTTCCTACTTTTTAATCATACATTCTCCTAAAAATTAATATTTCTAATATTTTTTTCTTAAATAATGATCATCAAATAAGAGCTAAATGCGCCGATTATCCTCGCTCCAAATAAGATGAAGCAAGCACTTTAGAAACACTTTTAACCTTTTTCTTGATTCTATAAAAGCTCCAAATTAAGCATTGAAATGAAAATGTTATTTCCTTTTATGGGGCAACCACAATTATTAAATGGGTCTTGTTTTTCATGGATAAAATTAGAGATTCTTTAAAAAGAAAATACTGTCTGTTTTAAAGAGTCAACTCTTAAATTTATGTTTTAAGAGATTATTTAAATTAACATTTTAAATGAGAAAGCGAGTTTGACTTTTCAAATTCAATGCATTCAAAATATTTCAATTTTCAATACTTCATATACTAACCCAATTGCACGGTATGTACAAAAAATTGGGTGAAATAATATAATACTTTTAAAGAAAGCCAGTAAAAAATATATATATGAAAAAATAATAAATACATATTAAAAGTTGTAAAATTAAGTATTAAAGATAAAGAGACTGTTGAATTAAATGTTCTCGAAATTGTAAAATATGCTTTTCAAAAATTAAAAAAAAAAAAAATCCTTGGGAGATACTCTAATGTTAATTGCAGTGGACGTTATGTGATTTTACATTTAAAATAGAAAATGAAGGGGAATATTTTCACTGAGTTAACCTTGAATTTATCCGTTAACAGACGGTAAGTTCTACAAAGGGACATTTATCCATTTACCAAAATCCGTCCCTATTTAATATTTTCCTCTGTGCGTAAAAATATTAATTAATTAATTTGTTTTGACAGCGATACGTGTTACCTTCTGGGAGTAAGATATTGTCCAGAGTTACGTGTGGAAGTATTTCATTGGATGAAATTGCCACATTTGTAATGCAATGCAAATTTCACGTGGCCATTTTTCACCCTTGCTTTTTAAAGCACCCTAATGCTATCTGATTTTACAAATAAACATTAATATGACTGTTAAATTCTGAGCCTGAGACTATTTTTCGGAAAAAAATTTATTTTTGAATAGTGAATTTTTGAAGAATTTATTATTAGTTCACGTGTAAAATTATTTTATAGAAGAATGCGTAGTTAAAAATGATTTTTTTTAAAAATGAGTTTTGAAAACGGGGGTTAAACGGGACAAAAAAAGTTAGTACATTAGTACTTCAATTATAGTTTAGACCCTAATTGATAACCATTATGAAAAGAAATTTGGGTAAAATGTATTTTGAGTAGTAGTTTTTGGAAGAATGTTTGGTTAAAAAGAAGAAAAATACGTATAATATTATTTTATTGAAAAATATATGATTGAAAAGAAAAGATAAAAAATGTATTTTAATTTCAATCCTTTCACTTTAATGACCGCCAGAGTCCAAATGATAGATTCCATCCAAAATGTCGTTAGTTAATACTGATATTGAAATTTTGACTCAAAATAACAAATTAAGTGAGGGGCAAAATGGTAATTTAACATTTTCAATAATAGAAAAATTCAAATAATTAAATAAAAATCAACCAAAAAAAAATCCTTTACCTTCCCAAAACTGAAGGTGTTTTTCATGTCCTTTTGAACATTAGTATTTTGAACAATTTTTTCTTTAGCAGATTTTTTGTTATAAACTTTAAAATACGCACACTCATAAAAATTTAAATCTTCTGACTAAGAAGCTTAGGTATTGTCGACAAATTTCCGGGTGAAATCTTGGATAAATCTAGCTTAACGATTTTTAGACTGTGTCAGTTACGTCCCCCACCACCAACCCAAAAAAATTCATAAAATCGACGATTGTCCACTGTCGCCGCCCCAATCCACACACAGTTGTAATGACCATTGCAACCACCATTAAAGTGATTAACAGCTTAATCTTGAAAATGGACCTGCCAAAATCCACCTTTCCAAGATTAACGGAGCCGATGAGCTTTGTTTTTTAGCTGTATCGCATACTTTGTTTCATGTTGAACGCCCATAATTTTTTCGGATTGGTTTGCTGTCTAATTGTTGACACACAAAAAGTTCAGCCCAAGTCGAATAGCCCAAGGAATGAAGCCCAATTGGAAGAACCCCAAAATCGAATAGCCCAAAGAACGACCCAATCAGGGAATGCAGGATAAAAGCCCAAATAGGGAAGCCCATGAACGCGGTAATACCATC